AGTACCGGCCCAATTCCAGCACTGCTGACTACACACTGACTGACTACACACTGACTACACACTCACTACACACTCACTGACTACACACTCACTGACTACACACTGACTACACACTCACTGACTACACACTGACTGACTACACACTCACTACACACTGACTACACACTCACTGACTACACACTGACTACACACTGACTACACACTGACTACACACTGACTACACACTCACTACGGTTTATTTTGAAAGGAACAGCCGGATGTGACAGTACTAACGGAAACATTAACCAACACGTTAACGGGCGGAACTCACATTATTCAATTATTCAGTTTAATGGGAGGTTAATGATGTCTTATTGTTTTACCTGCTCGAAAAACACCCAAAGAAAGTGTACTCATTTATTTGTAAGTATTTTCAGAATGTTATATTTTTGTTGTGATAAGTTAGCTAACTGTGTAGCTGTAGGCAATATAGCAAAAGTTAACGGTTCTCATGACGTCACTGATGGATTTTTCAAACTGCCAAGCTAACAGTTACCTATTTATTTAAAAAGGAAATGATAATACTTAATAACTCATAGTTGTAAATGTGTACCTTGCATTTGAGGTTTACGGATAATAAACGTTAAAGTAAAGATACTAGTTTGTACTTGTGACAGACAGCTAACGGTTTTCGTTAACGGTTAAAACCCTCTTGATGCTCGAGCAATTTAGCTTAGAAACATAGCTTTTTCGTTAGCAAGCATCTACATTTAAATTAACACAAAAAAGAACCATAAAAGCTAATAAATGTAGGCTAATGAAATATATGACAACAAAAATATTATTTGTAACTTAAGTATTTTCAGAATATGTTTGTGTTATTGATGTAATAAGTTAGCTAACTGTGTAGCTTTAAGCAATAGCATAAAGTTAACGGTTCTAATGACGTCACTGACGGATTTATAAACTGCCAAGCTAACAGTTACTTATTTATTTAAAGAGGAAATTATACTACTAATTAACTCATATGTGTAAATGTGTACCTTGTATTTTAGGTTTACGGATAATAAGCGTTAAAGTAAAGACACTAGTTTGTACTTGTAACAGACAGCTAACGGCTATTTATTTAAAAATGAAATGGCTATTAACTCATAATTGTAAATGTGTTCATTTTTATTTTAGGTTTAAGGGTAATACACATGTAGGTAAATATTAACTATACTAGTTTGTACTTGTAACAGACAGCTAACGGTTTTCCTTAACAGTTTAAACCCTCGGTGCAATTTAGCTGAGCAACATAGCTTTTCATTTGCAAGCATTTTTTTATTATAATAATTGTTTGATAATTATACAATGAGGTTCTAACACCAAATTACTAATTACATACAGGTACAACTATAAGTATCCTCAAGTATTGTTGTATGAAAACACAAAATCCAGGTAAATATATAGTAATAATGCCCTCATTGTAATTAAAATCGTGTCTAGTTTCATTAACAGACCCATGTCATAAATAATGTTGTATATTTGCTTATTTACTAAAAACAGCATTGACTTCAGAATCAGAATACCTTTATTCGTCCCACAGAGGAGAAATGTACCATTGTTACAGCAAAGAGACAAAGATAGCTTAATATCTCTCAAGAATCATGCATAAAAAATGATATATATTAAAGATATAATACTAGAAATACACAATTTAGAAGATCTACATCCAGCAACAATAACAGTTTAGCGATATAGCAGCCAGGTGAAAGTATAAGGTGGTAGTATACATTTCACAGCTATTTACGGTAAATATATATTGCACATGAGTAGTATTGCACAACAGGAGTTTAATAGTCTGTGTTATATGTGTGTGTGTGGGGTCTACCAGGGGCCATGGTGGTTGTACAGCCTGACCGCTGCAGGAAGGAAGGACCTGCAGTTTCTCTCTCTCCCTGTGAGACATTGCGGGACAGCAGCCTGTCGCTGAAGGAGAGGTGAGGACAGGGTGTCCTGGAGGGGGGGGACACATTGTCCACCACCTCCACAGTGTCTCCCCAGGACAGAGCTTATGGTTTGCTACTGTACATTTATGAAATAATATTCACTTCAAATTACATTGTAGGGTTTTGTTGTTATCTGAAAAACATGCACAAGAGGTAAAAGTACTTTTTAGTATTTTTCTCAAGCTGCTTTGACTCGATTATATTTATATTTTATATTTATATTATTTTTATGTTGTTTTTGTCATCAGGAAAAATCATGTATTAAAGGCTCTCAACATCTGATGAAGTCTTTCATCAGTGTGGACCTTAAGGCCTCAGTTACCTCATTCACACCAACGCAACTCCGGTTCAAGCTCCGTGCTAGAGCTTTTCAGGTTCAGAACCGGCTCTTCGGTTTAACGGAGGCTCTTTTCACACCGCCCAGAGTCCGACTGGTGCTGCGTCATTGCGTCATCGTTTGCGTCATGACAACCGTTTGCGTGCCTGCTTCATAAAGCCAAACCGCGCGGAAACCCCTCACAGCTCACACCGACAACAACAACAATGGCCGATTGTGCTCCAGCTTCCTCTGTACCTCTTCGGAAGACCAGATTCCCAGCAGGTAGCTGGTCTCTTCAGTGGACCACTGCTGCTTGTTAAGTTTCTCCATCGTTGTGTACAAACTGGATAAAACGCCGGCTTTTTGTTGTTGTTCAGGAGTTGATCTGTCTCTGCCCCCGCCTCGACGTAAGCGTGACGTATGCGGTGCTTTTGCTCTAGTCGGACAATTTTTTGGTGCTTGAAACAAACCGGATTCCGGAGCTAAGAGGCTGCTCTGCTGCGGTGTGAACAGGAAAACCTGGTGCTTTTCAAGCTCCAGCTCCGAACCGGCCCTGAAACACCGTTGGTGTGAATGAGGTATGTGAAAGTGTCTCTGGTATACAGCTCGCATGTTGTGTTGTTGGTGAATGTATGGATGATTTATATGTTCAGAGACTTGTATGTTAGAACATTTCAAGTGTTGACTGGTGGTGAAAAAGCATCTTACGTTTTGACTAGTACTGTTCACACTGGGACAAAACAGCTATCCATTTTGTTTGCATTAGCACGTTTACTGACACAATAACAACTTGTTGGCATGAATTAAATGTTTTGTGTGAGTTACTTAATTTTCATACGTGCAAAAGAGTTGTGATGAATAGTGCTGGGGGGAAACGATTATTTTGAAAACGATTAATCGGGCGATTATTTGATCGATTAGTCGACTAATCTAACGATTATTTTTCTGTTGTTCAATTCATAAAAAACGTAATGTAAAAAAAACGTAATGTAAACATTTTTTTTTCACGATACTGTGTCTCAGGGGATCTTAATATTTAAAAACCTATTAATGTGTTATACCAGATTAACGGAAATAATCTCAGCTAATTGACGATACAAACCATGTTTACCAAAACAAAACACAAGTCTCATAAGAAGCATCTAAATGACCCCTGAACGAAAAATGCTAACGGACATTGGCACAGAACTCAAGATAAAAGTACCCTTATTACTTATCGTAGCTGCACATACAATATATCCGATTAAAGCTGAGACTCCACAGATTATGTAGGTATATAGTATCATCACTGAGTGATCCGGACTCGCGACAGGGGAAGCAAACACAGACATCACAACACGTACCTTCACAGAGTTTCTCGGGAGATCGTCTCACCACCGTAATCTGATCAAAAAACGTGTTCAATGGCAATTAAAATGAGAAAAAACTGCGGCTGAATCGGTTAATCCATAGGTTTTTAACGTCTATGTATAAAAAAATGATTGAATTTATAATCCATAATTCCATTTTATGTAAAAATCGGAGAGCAAATGCTAGCTGCTAATGGTAGCCACCACAGCTAGCTGCTGCTTCTGCTAGGCTATGCAGCAGTCTCAGTGAGATATAAATATATAAATATCTTTGCGTTTTGGACTAACTTTAAAATATTCCCATGCTTTTGAAGACCTAGGGGCGAGATGTTTTCGTTTGGGGGCTTCGTGCGCAATCCTGTGAGGAGGAGGTGGTAGCCGTTTCAGTCTCCATTGTGTTTGAAGTGCGATTGCGAACTGCTTGTTGCTTTGGGTGACCCACGTGTGTGTAGCGACGCGTCAACGCGGAAATATGTCGTCGACGATATTTTGAAGTCGACATCGTCGACGCGTCGCTACAGCACTAGTGATGAAAGAGTTGTAACCATTGCACATAGAGTTAAGAGAAGGTCAAGACTGTTTAAAGAAGTGAGCCAATGAGAAAAACGGTATCATTGACGCCAGATCCTCCTCCCCTGCTCTTCTTATCTGCCCTGAATTTATTTTATTCCTTTTAGATCTACAGATTTACGTTATTTTTTGGATGTTAAACATAAGAGTTCATATTAAATGTCATTCAACCATTCTTTTGTTCTCTAGATCATTGAAGTTGAAGCAGAAGACACCGAAGTAATGAAACATGGCTTCTACAACACAGTCAGCTGTAGAGTACGTCGGGGGGGCCAGAACCCATCTTGTGAACAAATTAAAGAATCTGTCAGTGATTCTAGAGAACTTGAATCAGCAAGGAGTGTTACGTGATGAAGAGGTCTGCATAATACAAGCAGAAGGGAATGACTACGATAAAAACAGAAAACTTCTAGACTCTGTAACCAAAAAGGGGGAAGCAGCCACCTATATATTCCTCGAAATTATTGACATGATGAGGAAGAGGACCCTGGGGAGGACATCCCTTCTCCCTGAGAAACAGACTGTAGCTTCTGCTGAGAGTGAGACGTTCGACCTGCACCACTGGATCAGCTGCTTCCCTTTCAAGGAAGACCCACAAATGGGAAAAAACTACCAACAAGGTATGTAATATAGTTATATAACTAATAAAGAAAGTGCGTCACGTCTTCATTGCTGACGTTTGATGGGCTGTGCAAACTGGAAATATGCATCCACTATTTAGTATGAGGGTACATCATGCAATTTACAATATTTATTTACTTACTCACTGTTGTTTTTATTTTAGGTCCAACACCGTGCCACCGTTACCAGGCAAAGTTGAAGTCAAAAGCACAAAAAATATCAAAAGCGTTTTGGACGGCAAACAAAGGTCTGTTTGAAGAAAACAAGAAGCCTGATCTGTCGTACATGCCACTTGTGTTGGACACACAAGGAAGTGTTTCTCCCTCTAAAATAAAGAAATGTAAGGGCAAGAAAAGCAAGTGGGGCCGTTCTAAAAAGCTAGGGAGCTACATCCCTAAGGACAAAGCAGACATTTCTCCCAGTGACCTGCTTAAAACAGATAAAAACATACTCTTGGTTGGTAAGTCTGGGATTGGAAAGACAGCACTCACTCATGAAATGTTAAAACTCTGGACAGAAAAAGATGACAAGGAGCTAAACTACATGTTTTACTTTGACATGAGAAAAATATCCAACATCAAGAGCCTGGAGGACCTTCTCTTCAATGAGTTCAGTGAGCCAGATGAAGGCAAAGACGAGGTCTTACTGGACATAAAGAATAACTCTGACAATGTTACACTCATTTTTGATGGAATCACAGATCTGTCTTCACCAGTAGTGCAGAGACTTGTAGATAAAGATTTGCTAAAGGATTCCATGGTCGTTTTGACTTGCAGACCAGCTGATGAAGACCACCTTGAAGAAGACCTTCCTTCTGAGGACTTTCTCAGAGTGGAAGTGAAAGGCTTTAGTGAGCAGACCATAACAACATACATATCTGCGATGCTACGTGAAAGAAAGGAGAGGGTTTTGAGCAGCTTGGAGTTGTTAACGCTTTGCCATGTACCGATGTATGCACTGATGGTGGCTGCATGCTTTTCATTTGAGATATCAGAGAACTTTCAAAAGCCTTGCTGTATAACGGATATCTACATCAACATTTTCCGTTTTTGCCTCAAAAGAAACAGCAACAACACAAAATACATATATGCCTTCATCGAAAGCAAGAGTAAGGAGATACTGTCTTTGGCTGAGGTTGCTTTTCATGCAACTGAAGGGAAAACTGAACCTGACACTACGTCCCTTTGAACACAGCTGTGTCCTCTCCTTGCTCAAACAACTTGTTATCAAAGACGACCCTACTGAGAGAATAACCACTTATGCATTTCTCCATTACACAATGCAGGAGTTTTTTGCAGCACTGTGGCTCTTGAAGAATCCAGATGTAATCACTAATGTTTTTCAGCACTTTTTCTCACTGAGGAGAAGAAGCACATGAAACATCTGATCCCTTACATGTGTAGATTGTTGTCTGAGAAGAGCCGTAGTTTGATGGAGTGTCTGATTCCTCCTGAGGAGCTCAAGAATACATCAAACGGGTTCTGCAAGGAAGTGACATCCACATTCCTTCCGAGTCTGTGTGGAAACGATGAGCCTGATACCGAGGACAGTGGGCGCATACTGTTCCTATGCCAGTGCTTGTATGAGTCCCAGTGTCCTGAAGCATGCATCGACCTTCTGGAAAAACTGGACTATCGTCTTGATCTCAGTGGAGAGAGTCTCGATCCTTACCCCTGCTGTGCTGTGGCCTACGTGATCACTCAGTCCAAGGAGAGGAACATATGGCTGAACCTTGAGGACGTCACGAAATCACAACAAGGAATGAGACCACTATTAGGATGCCTTCAAAACGTCCAATGGTATGGATGAGCAGTTATTATTACGGCTAAGATTACAACACATCTAATTAGGTAGAATGTAATTGTTCAAAGTTGTAACCTTTAATATATATATATATATTAATATATACAGAAGTAATGAGAAAGTGATAGCTGATTATTCTTCCTATTGCAGGTGTGATTCTCTGCCACGGCAGCTGTGGGAGATCTTCCTTCTCAGCGAAGGGGAGATGGACTGCATCACCTTACTTGGCCTTGATGGAAATCAGTTGCACCTTCCAGTGGGGGGGGACAGAAAGCTGTTTGAAAGAGCAGTGACAGTCCTGCAGAAGATATATAAGAAGGTTAACATCTGCCTCCACTGGGAAAAGGAGAACCCTGACTGCCACAGTCTGTGTGAGACTCTGCCAGAGGCTCTGCCCTACGTCAGCTCCCTCAGGTATGTAGCTTGTGTTTCTGTGTGGTGGGATTCACCCCCCCCCCCCCACGAACCAAGAATACATCTTGAGCTTCCAAACTTCACTGGAATTTATTTAAACATTATAATTTATAAAACTGCAACTTCTTATTTAACAAAATGAAATGCATAATAAAGTGACGAATCACCTTCACAGTGGAATTATTAAAAGTCTAACTGTGTAATACTTAGTGTTGGGGATCGTTTGGATTTTAGAGATTCCGGTTCAGATTTTGGTTCTTTGAGGGTAAAAACAAGTCACATGCCAATTTAACAGATACAAAAAATGGTTCTAACCTTTAGTAAAATAGTGGAAATGGTGTTCAAACAACATAGGATCTAAAGATTTTAATAGGTTTCATTACGATAAAGATGACGGGCGTTTAACGAGCAGCAGTGTGTGTACTGTTACAACCTGACTCTTGGGCTGTAGCAAAAAGCTGGGAGTGTGGATGTTGAAATCAAAATCTTAGTTTTTTGGTGGGAAAGTCTTCATTGCATTCTGAAATGTGGATCAGCGTTAAGGTTAAACTCAGCCTAATCACAGCAGAAATGTGGAGAAAAAAGTCAGATTTAAAGTATGTCTTATATTATTCAATGCAGCAATTTAAATGCCCTTTCTTTTTAACACTTATTAGTCAGCATTCTTAAAAACTATAAATAGACAATAAACATAGTTTGAATAAAACAACAAGCACTGCATCAGTGTTGTTTTTAGAAACAGGCAGGGCTCTTTGTTTCAGTTGAATCTGAACTTTAATCTCTTATGTTGACATCCAGAATTGTACTCTCTCAGAAATTCTTCAAAAGCTGTGCAGAATTAGATATTGCAATTGCATTTGATATTTAATATTAGCACAGTGTTAACAGCTGTAACTTTATTTTACATTTAAAGTTTATAGGGTTCTATAGTACATGCAATGACACATGTGTTTGTTATCATGCAGCTTCAGGAGGACCTACGGAGGTCCAGGATTACAGGACCAGGAGCGACGCTATGAGAAACTGAAGAGACAAGAAAAGAAGCTGTGTCTGGATTTATGCCTGAAAGCAGCTACTCTCATTCAAGGAGAAAGCGTTCACAATGAAGTGAACAACCTCATCTCTCTGTTTTCCTTTAACTATGATATGCATAACATCCTTCTGGATTTTTATCAACATGTCAAAACTCAAGAGAGTTCAGCTGTCATTCAAAAACTGAAGTCAGTTCTCCAGTCAGCTCCTGCAGTCTGGATCATAAACCTCTCAGAGAGAAAGACCTCCATCCTGCTGGAAGTGCTGAGACTCCAACCAGAGAAGAAACAAGTGAGGCTGAGAGGCTGCTCAGAGGAAGAGAGTGAAGTGAGGACGTTGCTGCAGTGTCTGCCTTATATCTCACAGCTCAGGTCAGTCAGACAGATCATGTACATGTATTAATATTGTGTATATTTATTCAGATTCTGAAATATAAATAAACTGATAATCGACAGTGTTTCAAAAAAGACATTATAGTCATTCACAAATAAACATGATTTAGATAAAGCTGAATCACATCAGTATCACTTATCACAGTCTCCTTTTGTTTGGAATAATGAAATAATGTGAATCATAAAAAGAATAATGTTGCTCTGATACAACAAGACAGTCCTGATAATACCTCCTCATACTGGAGCTATGAGAATAGAGTAGATTCAGGATGAACTGTTATAGACTTAGGAGCTGATTGATAGATTCATTATCCGGCCAAAATATTGCGTCCACTCAATAAATGAAGTGTAACTGAGCAGGATGTTTGAACAATGAGTGGTTAAGACGACTGAATCAGGGGATTTTACCCAAGTGGCTTATTAGCCATTTTCAAAAAGACTGTGATCAGGAAGTGAAAAGGTTCTCACTATGAAGAGATGATTATGTCAAATAAGCGCTGTTTAATTTTCATGGAGTTTTAAATAATGATAGATGTTAAAATGTGTGATCCAGTATTTACATCTTTTCTGCTAAGTGATGAAAAATGTTTTGGTAAAGTTCCCCTTGTTGGTTTAGGAGAGGTTTTCCAGTATAAAATACATCCTTTAATACAGAGCTGAGGAAACACCTTTGACATCTGACTCTTGGTTCATTAAACATTTTGTTAAGTATCTAATTTCCTAAAGTTCTTCAAAGACTCACTTACAGCCCCGTTAACAGCGTGTTTACTTTAATGTTCAATTCATACATTTTACTAAATGATTCTCATTAACGGCACTTGTAAGCTTTTAGCCAATACACTCCTCATCAGTAAAGCATGGCTCTGTATGTACTGTTGACATCATCTGATAACAACAGGTTCAACCTTACATCAATACAAATAAATACAAATCCCACATTTTGATCAATAAACTACATTTTATCTTAATTCTCGTTTCAGTTTCTGGTTTGGACGCTCAGATGAACGCTCAGGTGAAGGCTCAGATGAACGCTCAGATGAACGCTCACGTGGAGTCCAGTTCTTTGGGACTCTGTTCTGTGCAGCAGCAGAGAGAGAGCAGCAGACAGGAGAGAAGACACTGCAGCTGTTATCATCAGTGTGCACATATCCTACATTCCCTCTGACTGACAAACGGGGTTATTATGATAAAGAATATCAGGGTGGTTTCCTGCTGGATCTGTACTCCCACCTGAAGGACTGTGAGACTAAAACAGGTCTGAGTGTCCTTCCATCATTACAGTCAGTTCTCCAGTCAGCTCCTGCAGTCTGGATCATAAACCTCTCAGAGAGAAACACCTCCATCCTGCTGGAAGTGCTGAGACTCCAACCAGAGAAGAAACAAGTGAGGCTGAGAGGCTGCTCAGATGGAGAGAGTGAAGTGAGGACGTTGCTGCAGTGTCTGCCACAGATCAGGTCAGTCAGACAGATCATGTTTATTTAGGATATTATGTGGATTTCTGAATAAATAAATAAAATGATTACAGCTGATTATGGGCAGTGTTTCAGGAAGAGACTATAGTCCTTCCCTTCTGAACATGATGTAGATGAATAACATTTCCCAGTTCTGTCATTATTTTAAACCACAGTCTTCTACCAGTTAGAGAATAACAACATGATGTGAATCATAGTGAGAGAACTTAAGCTCTGAGACAGCAGCACCATCATGCTCATGCCTCATTCAGAAATAAAGACACACACAAACATAAATAAACTTGCTGATAAAACTGCTATCAGCTTTTTAACATATCTCTGCAGCTTCTCAATAATCAGTTGTAACAAAAACAAACGTATTAAATATGTCTTTGTATTGTTTTATTATTTTGTATTTATTATTAATGTTTGTGTTGTCCTAACCCTACATTTTGGCTACACGGTCTGTTTTGGTTATAATTGTGGTTTACATTTTGTACGCCTTTTTAAGTGAAGATCAGCTATGTATAGCTTGTCAATTGATGTACAATAGTAGAGACTGAGCTGAACACTAGTAGCTTTGAACTGTTCAATCTAACCTATCAATGTACCAAATGTATTTTCTGTGTGTCTTCAATAAAAATATGGTAACACTTTATATTAAGGTCCACAAATTAACCATCAACTAGTTGTTAATTAACATGCATATTAGCAGTATATTCACTCTTTATTAGTCATTATAAAACACTTATTAATGCCTTAATGTAGAAACATGACCATACTCTACAAGTGATAAGCCATTAGTTGAGAGTTGTTCCTCAATAACCTTCTAATTAGTGCTTATTTATTGTAAGGAAGTTGTTGTACATGAGTTTGGGTCTTAATATGCTCTGCTCAATATGGGCCTAATAAGGCAGTAGTACCACAAGAATAGTAATTTTCCCATAATAACACTTAAAAAATGTGATCTATTCTTATGTAACAAGACATGAAGCTATAAGTGTGAATTGTGTCTAAATAACTCAAAATGAGGTATTTCTATCTAAGAGCATGTTCCCTATTTTAAAGTGAAGTCTTGTTCATAACCAATAAGCTAGTAGTTTGACTCTAATTAGGTATTTCTATCTAAGAAAATGTTCCCTATTTTAAAGTGAAGTCTTGTTCATAACCTGTTATGACCCGGCTCAAAAGGCCACAACAAAGAGGAGACACACCATGTCGATGGTTAACAAAAGATGTTTCTTTAGGACAAACAAATCAAATCAAATCAAAAACAGTAAAGTATGAGGTGTGGATGTCAGTGGTATCAGTAATGTAAATGCAGGGTGAGGATTGTATGAACATGTATGTGTGTGAGAGTGTTGAAGTGCACAAAGTAAAACAACTGAAGAAACTCATAATATACTCAACAAAACCGGGGCGCCTGCAGGGAGAAGCAGAGGGAGAACAGAGAGGCTTTAAATAGCTGCAGGGCACCAGACCCAGGTGCCCCGAGTTACTGCAATCAATGCAATCACTACAGCCAATGCAGCACAGACAGAACAGCCACACCCTCTCTACTGATGACCCCACAGGGCCATCACAGCCCCCCCCCTTAAGACGGGGCCCCAAAGGGATCCACGACAACCCAATATTCTCCTTCTTAACTCCAGCTTTTTTTTCTTTCCTTCTTAGGACTGGAGGACGCTCCTCCTCCGCCGCTGTCTTTGAACTCTTGCCTTGCGATGTCGTACTGCTTTTTCACCTCCACTGCCTTTATGTCCCACTCCTCCTTGGGTTGGCTGGCGTTGAGCCACAGCATGTCGGCCTCTTGGGTGCATCGACCTCCTTCGGCCTTCTCTTCTTCGGCCTCCTCTTCTTCGCTTTGCGGGGTTTCCTCTCTTCTCCTTCACCACTTTGACTGTCTTCTCCTTCTTATTTGTCTCGATCTCAAAGTCAAAGGACCGTGCTGGACCACTTTTTACAGACTCCGAAACAGGTGGGTCAGTAGACATCCTACGGCCCTGCACACGCATAATAGTATAGCAAACCGCTCTCATCTGGCTCTACAGATGCCAACGGCCTGGAAACCACCTCAGGCGGTGGCACACCCGCCCACACAGCACTACCAGCAAGATCGTTGCTCAAAATCATCTGTACCCTAACAAGTGGCAACGCGGGACGCACGCCGATAGACACAACTCCCCGTACCAGCTCACAATCCAGCACTACTGTATGACGTCACACAGGAATCAAGCCCATCTCCATGCCCCTCATCAGCACAAAATCCCCAGTCTCTGTCTCTGACGAAAAAGGCAACACTGACTCAACAATAAATGAGTATCTAGCTGCTGTGTCACGCAACACCTTAATCGGAATATACTTGTCACTACCGACCATTGATACAACGGCTTCCGTTATGAACGGCTCAAAAACAGAACCCACATCCAAGTCGGCACAAACCAGCTTCTTATCAGGCACCATGCCCGATCCTACACCCTGCGGCTTTTTAACCAAAACGGCAGAACAACACATGGCTGGAGCATGTGATGAAGAACGAGGCTTCCCCTCAGGTTCCAGCAACGGACACTGCCCCTTCCAATGAGCCTCTTCTCTGCAATAATGACATTGGCCCACTCTGGCACCCTCGGATCGCCCTGGACCTGCAAATCTACGGGAGGAGCCTGGTGAAAACTTTGCACCACCGCGGGAATAGCCACCATCTTCTCCACGTCTCCAGTCACCCTCTAGACCACTTCTCTGTAAAACTGCCCTTATGTGTCAACACAAAATCGTCCGCTAGTTCAGCAGCTCTAAGCGCGGTGGAAGGTTTCTGCTCATTTACATAAGTGGCCACACGCTGAGGGATAACATCTTTAAATTGTTCCAATACAATGAGTTCACAAAGACCATTAAAACTGGCAACCTTTGCTGCCGCGCACCACCGCTGAAAATGAGAAGTCAAATCACGGATAAACTCCACATGTGTCTGCTTATCCCCCTTGACCCAACTTCTGAACTTCTGACGATACGCTTCAGGAACCAGTTCGTATGATTTTAACACTGCTGACTTTACTCTAGCATAGTCCAAAGCATTTTCGCCACTAACAGCTGAATAGGCCTCCTGTGCTAAGCAACAGCACTCTGTCCGAATCTGACCAGTTTCTTGCCTCTGCTATGCGTTCAAACAGAGTAAAATAAATGTCAGGGTCACACTCATTAAACTTTGCCACTAACCGCAAGTAAGAAATAATATCGCCACTACCTGATGCCGACCTATCAGAACCATCCTCCACCGGAGCAAGCTTGCCCTCCCCAATCAGCCGTAATCTAGCATATTCCACCTCACATTTAATCTTTTCCACCTCCAGCACCTTCTCCACCTCTAAACGCTTCTCTACCTCCTGCTGCTCCAACCTCAACTTCTCCTGCTCCAACCTCAACTCCAACTGCAACCTCTCCTGATTAAACTGCATGGCCAAATGCTCCTTTTGCTGCTCGAACGTCAAACCAGCTGTCTGAACCACTACTGGCACGACCCCTGCGCACCAGACTCACTCTACTGCAACACCCCCTGCTCAAACAAAGATGACACGATGACAGCTTTAATCTCATGTTTCCCATTGCTCTCTACAACAGCAATTTCATAATGCTCTGCTATTTCGACCACCTGCGCCTTCTGGCAATCATCTAAGAAAGACACTGAGGGCGCATCAACTAATCAGCTGCTCAAATGACGCCATGTGCTCTGAGCACGACACAAACTTTCTAGAAATAACCCGTCGGACGAGCCCCCATTTGTTATGACCGGCTCAAAAAGCCACAACAAAGAGGAGACACACCATGTCGATGGTTAACAAAATATGTTTCTTTAGGACAAACAAATCAAATCAAAAACAGTAAAGTATGAGGTGTGGATGTCAGTGGTATCAGTAATGTAAATGCAGGGTGAGGATTGTATGAACATGTATGTGTGTGAGAGTGTTGAAGTGCACAAAGTAAAACAACTGAAGAAACTCATAATATACTCAACAAAACCGGGGTGCCTGCAGGGAGAAGCAGAGGGAGAACAGAGAGGCTTTACAGTTTTTCTCGATTGCTAACACACTTCTTTTTTTTTTTAATTGCTCAGTTTCTCAGAACACTAAACACAATTCACAAAACCACACACCCAAAGTGCAAAACACCTCATTTCTCCTGCTAAGTGAAGAACTGCACTCAAAACTACATAAACACTTACCAAATGCAAACTGAAGTGCTGAGACTCCAACCAGAGAAGAAACAAGTGAAGCTGAGAGGCTGCTCAGAGGAAGAGAGTGAAGTGAGGACTTTGCTGCAGTGTCTGCCTTACATCTCACAGATCAGGTAAATGTCAGACTCTATATTTATAATATTAAATGAAAGGTTCATTAAAAAGATCAACAGCACATTGGAAGCAGTTAATTAACTGAAATGTATAAACGGGTATTCTGTAGATAAATGAAATGTTTCTGTTTAGTAATGAATTAGCACAACAGACAGAGTAATGCTTTATCACATGGAATACCACACGTGCACTTAAACTAATTCATCCTATTTCTTTTCTTTGAATGTCGTTCTTGATTAAAGACCTTGCAGATAAGATGGTTGGCGGTGCAGCATTTATTGTACTTGAGCTTTGCCTTCTCACTGTTCATCCATATTGTTTCAGCTGTGGTCCAGAGTTCTTCCAGAGAGTGTGTACGCTCCTCTCTGTCAGACCCAGAGAGGAGGCTGAGAGGTTGGCCTCTGCTGCAGCTCTCAGGGTTCACCCTGCTGCTATCAGGACGGTTACCCAGGACAACCTGCCTGTCCGTGGGCAGAGTTCTCCAGCTGTGTGGCTCTAAAGTGGATCTCATCCTCAAACCCAGAAAGATGTCTGTCAAGGGAGCCTTTGCTCTCTTCAGACAAACAACACAACTACACCGTCTCAAGTGCGCATTGAAACAGTTACTCTTTTATTGTCATCATGCCATTTCTTTGAACGTTCAGTTGGGGGATAAAGCTAAATGATGGTACTATTCTCTTTCTTTGTTTCCAGGCTTTCTAACGGCATGGCCTTGCTGCTGGGTGGCTGGGTGAGGAGATGGGGAGTGGGCTGTCGGGTGACTGTTGAAGAGCTTTCTCTCTCCCCTCAGACCGCCCAACCATCACGCAGAGTGTTGTTGAAGGTTGTCAGTAGCTTGGCTTCCCTGCTGAGATACTGGGCAGTGAGACAGTTGGACCTGACTGAGGTCTGTGTTCCTGCTCTGGGTCTCACGCCACTGCTGCTCCATGATGGCCCTCTCAAGATCAAGTAACAGTCTCTCTGGAGCCTCATACACTCACAATAATTCATGCAGATGATATTAATGTTCACATACACTGTTTCCTGCAGACTGAGTGAGAAGAATGTCCAGCAGCTACTCTCCCTGCTCCATGAACTCCAGGACCAGGACTTGACCTGGTCCTTCTTGAGTAAGTTAGGAGGAGACCTGACCTCCTTCTCTCTGAACTGGGAGCTTCTCCATCTTCTACTGCAGCATCCATCAGCTCAGACCCTCACTGTGAACATGAGGAAGAACCTCTTCTTACAGGAGAACGTCACACGTCTGCTTCCCTACCTGGACAGGATTCTGTTTAAAAGGTCAATAGAGTCGTTTATCCTGTTTTAGCATTTACATATATTTAGTTACTTCTTTCACTAAAGTGTGTTCATTCAAACTCTTTCAGGCCCTGTCCCAGCTTTGTGTTGACTGCTATCAGGGAGATTTACAAAACTCGAGCCAGTCCCATTATACCCAGTTTACTGAGGTCCTTGGATCATGTGATCAACCTGACCTGCAGAGAGATGAGACCTATGGACTGTGATGCTCTGCTCTACACCCTCGCACACAGTGATGGCGTCAAACTGAACCTCCTGTGGACCTCCATACCAGCACAGTCCATCCTCTGGAACCTGGACAAAGTTTCTCAGCTCAGGTCGGTCAAATATAGTTCTAAACGTGTATTGATCTCGGCCCAGCGGTACTTTACCATCCGTCAAACATCAATATCAGTGAATGGAAACAGCCGGGTGGAACGGCACAACACTTTCAGCATCCTTCAAAGCCAAACCAACAGCAATAAAAACAAGCATATGTTCTCTTCTTAGCTGGATGTCTGTTTCCAACCTTTTTGATCTGTTGTTAATGTGATATGCTCTATGTTCTTATTACTGAGAGAAAGGAAGGACAAAACTGCAATAAGACCCCGGTTGATGAGAAACATAATTATAATTAAAACACTTGTTCTCAGTCAATGAAGCTTTATGGACAAGTGGTTTGTTTAACTGTTAATGAATGTTCTCCCAGTGTTGACAGGAACCTGCTGCTGAGGTTGGTCCACGGCTGCGCTGCCTCTGATGCCCAGCAGGGGGCCGCAGAGTCTCTGCTCAGGACTGTGCAGCACAGGCTGGATCTGTCCTGCTCCTCCTGTGTGGAGCTGCCAGAGGAAGATCAGAGGGACACTCTCCTCCGTCTGACGGCTGGCGACTGCAGGGCCGTCTCCAGCATCCTGAGACGCAGCAGACGGGACACACAGCTCATCCTGCAGGACTGTGAGGTTCAGGACAGCGGATTAGACCTGCTGTTTCCTGTCTTACACAAAGTCAAACTCAGGTAGACCACTAACACTAAACCAGAGAAGAAGCTGTTTTTATACAAGTTTCTGCATCACATCAGTTTGCTCTGTGTCTCCTGTTCAGAGCCAGTAAAGCTGTCCTCCTCCAGCTGGTGTCCCTGCTTCCTGTGAACAGTGAGAGGGACACAGTGCGACGGGCAGTGTCCCTCTGCAAAGCCCTGGAGGAAGAGCTGGACCTCAGTCACAGCACTCTGGATCAGAGGGCCTGTGCAGCCTTGGCCCTGATGCTGGACTCCTCTGAAGAGCTGACAGAGCTGGACCTCAGTCACTGTCAGCTCTCTGACCAGCTGCTGCTCACACTCAGCGCGCAGCTGCACAAAGTGCAAGTCCTCGAGTGAGTGGCAAAGGTGTTCATGTGGAAAATAGGTTTTAATGGAGGTAATCTTTAGTTTGGGGTGTGAATCTCTCTGTGTCTGATCATCTGATTCAGGGCTTTGTTGGCTGAAGCCTGTTGTACAGAATCAGTCTGAAGATACGCTGTAATCAGAACTCAGGCAGTCATACGGCAGTGTCAGAAAAGTGAACATAATGTTTGTTTGGACTGTACCTATACTGCCCAGCCGATGTATTACATTACTAAAAGTTCCTGTGTTTGTGTTACAGTCTGAGCCACAACAACATCACTGATGCTTCGACTGACCTCTTACTCCAACTGGTCTCCACCAACCCCTCCATTCACACTGTGCAGTGAGAAAACCATAATTACTGCACCATTTGTACTCGAAGGCTGACAGAGGAATCATTCATCATTATAAAACTGCTATTCAGCGTATTGTTCTGTCTGACTGATGTCTGTGCTCTGCTTTTGGATTTCTCTAGACTGTTCGGGAACAAAATTGTGAACAGGACATCCTTTGAGAAAGACAAGAAGTTTGAAATATGGTGACCCTCCGTCAGTGTGGGTGGAATCTGCCAATCAGGGAATAACTGATCTACCTCTAACGATCATTACATACTGACTCTGTGTATGATGGGATCCGTTTCAGAGTCCTGCATCGGGTCGGGTACCCGCGGGTACCCGACGGGTGACCCGCAAAAAAGGTGATTCGCGGGTGGTATTTTTTCAAACGCTTTTTTCCGGGTTCGGTTCTGGGTAAAACAAAGATGATGCGGGTCGGGTCGCGGGTATTGCATAATAAATATATTAAAATAATAATAAATTAGTTTAATGTTTAAAATCCTCAGACCTCTCCCCCGCGGGACCGCGCATAATCATAACCTCTGCAGCGCATCAATCTGCTGCTGTGCGCGCCACATTGGAAATGGCTGAGCTGAAGCTCTCTAGCGGAGAATACAGCATTTTCAATAACACTTCCTCAAGAGCGAAATCCAACGTCTGGGAGGCTTCTTGTGTCATCCTAGATGGAGGAAATAACCAACATCCCACGCTTTCTGAGACAAATATGAAACTGCGTGTGTTAATAATTGCACGTTTTCACTGCTCATAGGCTATGCTGGTTCGGGTCGGGTTGCGGATCTTGTGCCGACGGGTCGGGTCGGGTTGCGGAACTAATTGGCAATATGTGCGGGTAGCGGGGCGGGTTCGGTATTGCACGTCGCGGGTGCGGGGCGGGAGCGGGTCTTGAAAATCAGACCCGTGCAGGACTCTGATCCGTTTACAGCAGGGGTGGGGAACCTTTTTCCTCTCAAGGGCCATTTCAATTTTTTCAACATCCTCCGAGGGCCGTACAAATGATTGACATCTGCTTAAAAATACTAAAATCACAGCCCATTCATTTGGCCTTTCTTTCATGCTGTGCAAAGAAAACGCAACCTCTCAATCCAGATATCTCACCATGACTCACGCATGCACGTGCACGGTGTGGCATGACCACCAAACAGAAAGATATGGGCACAAGATGTGTGCAATTTAGTTTCCTATCCATGTGAATATGATTTAAGTGGGGGGGGACCTCACCTCCTCTAGGGGGGGGGACCTAACCTCCTCTAGGGGGGTCCGGGGGCATGCTCCCCAGGGAAGATTTTTTTTTTTAAATGTTGAAGTTAAAAGCATCAATCTGGTGCACTTTGAGAGCAACATTAAGAGATCTATGGAAACATCTCTCAACACCAGATGAAACAGAACTGGAAGCAATTTTTCTTTTTCTTTATGGATATTTTACAAAGCACTCTCCTTTCAAACTGGATTCTTGTTTATTAATAACAACTTTTTTTACTGTCATATAGTATTTTATACCTGTTTACTTTATTCTCTTATTGTTTTATAACTATAATGATCAAGATGTGCCTTTACCTCACTGGTTGTAGAAAAAGCTTCTTATATTCGTTAGCATAGCTAGCTAACCAGATGCTAATAACAACACAGTTATTGACTGTATGATCAGTGTGACGGATGAACAGATCGCCACTGGGCTTTCAGCTAAAGACACAGCCACGCAAAAACTGCGGCATGTGTACGGGTCCCGGCCGGAGCGACGTCCTGGTGCTCTCCGGCAGCTCTAAACCCCTGTCGGACGAGACATATACCACGTGATGACACGTTAGGCTCGTGTTGTGTGCAAGGACCCTGACCCTTGACCAGGAAAAACAGGCACTCGCTTGTTTAATTCTTTTGCGGTCTATATTTCTTAATTTGTTTTCTTTTTTGCGTGAGTTACCTCGAGGGCCGTATCAAATTGCCGTATACGGCCCGGGGGCTGGAGGTTCCCCACCCCTGGTTTACATAGAGGCCATGACTTTTTGTTCTGGAGGTATTATAGATTATTCTTTTATGGTACGCATATTTATTATCCTCCTAATTGAACACGTTTAAATTATTTGTGTGTGTCGTGTCAAATGATAATCTGCAAGGGGATCAAAGACTTATATCCCACCGTTAAATGCAAATCAATTTTTATCTTTTATATAATATCTATTTCTGGATTAGCTTTTTGATATTCTTACTCACTGTTGAAATAAACCTACCATTAAAATGACAGACTGTTCATACCTTGTGGGCAAAGTTAGAACAAATGCAAGGGATCAAATCATGATTTCCTTCACTGCATATAGATGATGTTTTATACTCGGATTGCCTTTTACTCGTTCAATAGTATTTGTAGTCCTATGTGTTTAACAGAGACATGTTGAGGATTTACATTTCAGGAAGGGCAAAAGGTGGATTTGCAAATGGTTAAAGAACTGGTTTAATGGGTTAATGATGGGATGTTTAGATAATGACTGAAGGAGATGATGGGACCAGGTGGATACTCTACTCTGTAATGTGACTGTGAGCAGAACCTCTTTCTCCTGAGGATCAAGCTGCTCTGCTCCTGCTTTTCAGATCCATCTCTATTCTATGTTTTTATTCTTTTTTACTTTATTAAATATAAAAAAAGACAAACTTTGTCCATGACTCATTAATCAGTTTCTCTTAAGGGAATTAGAATTTCCTCAAAAAGACCAGAACTGTTATATCAATATATGAATTCATGTTTTTAGTACTTTTAGATAATAATAGATTTAATTTGTTAGCGCTTTTACAGGTGCTCAGAGACGCTTTACAGATAGAGTGAAGAGAAAAGAAAGGAACAACAAATAAAGTTAAAGTCAAATAATACAAAAACAATCACACATTAAAAGCCAGATTGAAGAGGTGAGTTTGTGTGAGTGTTTTGAAGGAGGTGAGGTCAGTGCAGTCCCTGATGGGTTGGGGGAGTGAGTTCCAGAGGGAGGGGGCAGCGAGGGAGAAGGCTCTGTCCCCCCAGGTCCGGTGCTTGGTGCGGGTGGGGATGGATAGGAGGGGGATGGATAGGAGGTTGGCTTCTGATGAGCGGAGGCAGCGGGAAGGCGTGGTGGTGCAGCAGGTCTGTGAGGGTGGGGGGGGGTGGGGGGGCTGATTGTTGAGGGACTTTGTGAGGAATCAGGAGGACTTTGAAGTTGATTCTTTGACGGACGGGGAGCCAGTGGAGGTTCTGGAGGACGGGAGTGATGTGGTCTCGGGAGCGGGTGTGGGTGAGGAGGCGGGCAGCAGAGTTCTGGATATGTTGGAGATAGATAAGTGTCTTTGTGTGAGCAATGCATTCTGGGTTTAGTTTAAGGCTGTGCACAGTGACAGAGCTCACAGCTTTACTGCCTGGTCTCTTTATTAAAACACACTATTTATTGTGACCTGCAGTAAACTGTGTTCTTGACCTCTGGTTGCAATACAAGTGCAAAATATGCTAATCAGTTACACAAAACAACATCGTATTAAAATTATGTGCAACGTTTTAGGACACATTTAATATTTTATGTAAATAACTCTAACATATCGTAAAGTGTACTTCTGTAAATCTAATGTATCCATAACACTTATCTTATGCAGCCACAGTTCCAGCTGGTACATGTTGGCATGTTTTGTTGATGAAACAAGCTCAGCTGTTTTTCCAAAATCCATCTTTCAATATACGATCTTTGACGGGTCTGAACAGGTGCATTGTGGGAAGCCCTCTCCGACGCTGTCTGTATTTCTTGACATCTAACGCCACTTCTCTCTCCAAGTGCACGCTAAAATGCATTCTGAGTCCCACTTGAACTAGGTTATTACCTGGAAGTCGGCCTTTCCTCCACGCAGCGTTCAGGACGGGCTGCAGCATGGAGGCTGGTGAAGGTGAGCTGTCTGCAGCTAGCTTTGCAGGCTAACGTTATTCCTCATCTGCAGGATTCTGTGTGTGTATTCAAACCATAGACTGTATATATGATTCAAACATGCTTATTATCAGGGAGAAGATGACGTCAGCTGATAAATCACTGTTATAAAGCCAACGTTGCAATAGTCCGCATCAAACTGGAGATGTGCGCAAAGATGTTGCACCTAATTTAAATATGATGTGCATGCTCTTATTTTGAGTCTATCTTCACTGTTGCTGAAACAATGCATCTCCCCTCTGGGAAGAATCGAGGCTTTCTGACTCTGAAATTCAGATAGATATCTTTTACTTTATTTACTTATTTGGTCAGCTGATGGCCTGAGAGCTAATCTGCAAAAACTCAGATTTACCTATTTCAAAAACACATACAATTGTCTAGTCCCAGTATGTGCACGATCTCTGTGTTTATATTTCTTTAAAACAGAGAATCTGGGTTGGCCAGGCACAAAAGAAACCCACATCTTAGAGACCTGGGTAGAAACTGTGATTTGAACTATTTCTTAAACCATGTCAGTGATACCTATTCAGTAAAGCTGAGATAAAGGTGTCTTATCGGAGGGAAGTGTCCCATGCATTGCCCCTCCCAGTGAAGGCTGTTGCCCCTGTGCCAGGTGTCAGCGGCACCACGCCCACAGAGGAGATGAACGGAGCTGGAAACCTCATGGATTTCCTGGACGAGCCTTTTCCTGATGTGGGGACCTACGAAGATTTCCACACCATCGACTGGCTGAGGGAGAAGTCCAGAGACACGGACCGCCACCGCAAGGTTTGGCATCAAAAGAAATACTGTTGACTTGCTTTATTAATGTTTCTCATTTAGTACTGGTTCCCTTTTTATGTTCTACTCCCTGAACCTGCTGGAAAGGTTACTGTGGTGTTGCTGTAGACCTGGTGATTTGTATTTCCATAATATCTGTCTGTCTGTCCATCTATCAGAACATTACTAAGGGTTCCTCCTTATGAAGTCTTATAGTGTTCAGACACACGCAAGGTGACACGAGGACAATAATAAATCCGCAGGAGGGTAAGACTGAAATGATCAGCTAGTCAATGCAGACTTTGTGAATGAATAACCTCAGTTTCTCACTGTTGTGTGTGTGTACCAGATCACCAGTAAGAGTAAAGAGTCCTTCTGGGAGCTGATAAAGAGTCTGCTGGACGCCTGGTCAGGATGGGTGGTGATGCTGCTCATCGGACTGCTCTCAGGTCAGATCTCACCCTGAGTAATCTGCAGTGTTTACAATGCTGCTGCTCCACGTGGCATTTCATTCACTTTCCACCAAGACCAGACATATCAGGGCAGCGATAAAGAAACGTGGAACATAGCTACTAGGTACATTCACTTGAGTACCATACCTAAGTACTGATTGGACCATCAACCCTCGTTAGAAAACGTTGTGATGTCTTGAGGTGTTCTGACTAAAACCTGTGGTAATGGTACTTTGTGGTTCTAATATCCTATATTGGTTTTGCTATTCCTTCACAGGAGGATGAGTGATCCAGACGCATAACAGATGCTCTCCGGGCTTTGGTGCAGTTTAGTATGATGTTTAGAGGTTACCAAGGTTTAGTGATTCAGTGAATGGTTGTAGTATCTGAGCATCTTCCGGCTGGACCTATGACCCCTTTTGCAGCTAACCCCCGCCACCAAGTGTTCAAAATAATATTGCACTATAAATAAAATAAACAGACATGCCAACAACATCAATAAAATGGCTCCTGTGATGGAAACTTCTGGATCAATGGAGACTCAGAGAGACACGGGGAGAGCAGGAGCTTTGATGGAAACACTGATGGTTTATTATGGAGTTAACGCCCTGGAGAACTCACATGACATGTTCTGTGTTTCTGAAGATCTCTACCCCAGACCCATGTAGTTAGCTGGTTCTGAGAGAAGAATCTACATTGTGCATAACAAGATAAAACCACCACACCTCTATCAGCTGAGGCCAACAGGCAGGAACAGGGAGACAGAACACTGAGAGCAGCTCAAGGTCACAGGCCTGAGCTCAGTGAGGCAGTACAGACTGATGCACTGGGTCAGAGTTATGGGTCCAGGAGAATATTTCCCCAACAGCTCCTACACCTGTTCTCCACAGGCACGCTGGCGGGAGTGATCGACCTGGCGGTGGACTGGATGACGGACCTGAAGGAAGGCGTGTGTCTGACGGCCTTCTATTACAGCCACGAGCAGTGCTGCTGGACGTCCAACGAGACCACCTTCGACGACCGGGACAAGTGTCCGCAGTGGCAGAAGTGGGCCGAGCTGATGACCGGTCACTCTGAGGTCAGAACACAATAAAACTTCCTCAGAAAATTCCCTGGTTTCAGGACTCATCCCAATAATCATTCAACGTCAACTTTAATGTCCATCTTTCAGTTTGTGTGTACAGACGGAGAGATCGAAATACCGTTTCCCACAATCCAGAATATCTAGATATATCAACACACATAAATAAAAGCACAACAATCAATATACAAAATAACAGTCACTTCCAAATCTGTGAGAAATGTACATTAGTGAAAGACTGTCCATAGCAGCGTAAAAAGAGTCTTCGGTTTTCGGGACAGAAAGACTGGACACTAGATTTCAGTCCCTGCTACATTTGACTTGTTTCAGGGAGGGGGAGCGTACCTGTTGAACTACTTCCTGTACGTCCTGTGGGCTCTGCTGTTTTCCTTCCTGGCCGTGTCTCTGGTTCGAGTGTTCGCTCCGTACGCCTGCGGCTCCGGAATCCCCGAGGTGAGAAACTCCAATGCTGCACATTTTCCTTTATCGTATATATGGCATTCATTTTGGCGTGGATTTAATTTATGTTGTAAGATGAAACTCAGCTCCTGTAATGAGTCTGTTAGAAAATGTGTTTCCAAAATACAGACAGCCATAGCTGTAAGGGGAAAGATGTACACATTTAAAAACCATTGAAGCCACAAAACTGTGTGTGTGTGTGTGTGTGTGTGTGTGTGTGTGTGTGTGTGTGTGTGTGTGTGTGTGTGTGTGTGTGTGTGTGTGTGGTGTGTGTGTGTGTGTGTGTGTGTGTGTGTGTGTGTGTGTGTGTGTGTGTGTGTGTGGTGTGTGTGTGTGTGTGTGTGTGTGTGTGTGTGTGTGTGTGTGTGTGTGTGTGTGTGTGTGTGTGTGTGTGTGTGTGTGTGTGTGTGTGTGTGTGTGTGAACTAATTTTTCCAATTTAGTTCGGTATTAATTTGCCATTTCCGGGTCCCCTAAAAGATATGATTTGCAAAACTGTACTTTTAATATAATGTTACCCCAAATAGAAAATCACAGCTATCACATTTCGTGGCAGATCAAGACGATCCTCAGCGGCTTCATCATCCGGGGCTACCTGGGGAAATGGACCCTGCTGATCAAGACGGTGACCCTGGTTCTGGCGGTGTCGTCGGGCCTCAGCCTGGGGAAGGAGGGCCCTCTGGTCCACGTGGCCTGCTGCTGCGGAAACCTCTTCTGCAGCCTCTTCTCCAAGTACAGCAAGAACGAGGGCAAGCGCCGAGAGGTACGCTGATCAGAGTCAAACTGAAAGAAAACACCCGCAGAATGACTCGGGTCGACGGATGCATTCAGAGTTTATAAATGCAAACATTAGAGATTTACTTGTCTGCAAATAACCAAGTGATTTATGCATTTTGACACTAATGTCCTGACCCTGACTGACCTCTGCCTTCAGGTGTTGTCAGCAGCAGCAGCAGCCGGAGTGTCGGTGGCCTTCGGAGCGCCCATCGGAGGAGTTCTGTTCAGCCTGGAAGAGGTTCGTTAAGTTCCCCTGCTTCACACCGAACGCGCCTCCTGTGCCAAGCCGTGTTTACATTAGCAAGCATCGCTAACACTCAGATGTCTAAAATGCATGGTCTGTTTGGTATTTTGAGCAAAACCCATTATGTTTTTTAAATATTTGTATACATCTGAGACCATAATACATTCCTCTGATGACCCCTGTCTCCTGCAGGTCAGTTACTACTTCCCTCTGAAGACGCTGTGGCGCTCGTTCTTCGCCGCCCTGGTGGCCGCCTTCACGCTGCGCTCCATCAACCCGTTTGGCAACAGCCGCCTGGTGCTCTTCTACGTGGAGTACCACACGCCGTGGTACATGGCCGAGCTGGTGCCCTTCATCCTGCTGGGGGTGTTCGGGGGTCTCTGGGGGACGCTGTTCATCCGCGCCAACATCGCCTGGTGCCGCCGCAGGAAGACCACGCAGCTGGGGAAGTACCCGGTGCTGGAGGTGATCGCTGTGACGGGGATCACGGCTCTGCTGGCGTTCCCCAACCCGTACACCCGGCGCAGCACCAGCGAACTGATCTCAGAGCTGTTCAACGACTGCCGTGCGCTGGAGTCCTCGCAGCTCTGCGACTACATCAACAGCCCCAACATGAGCCGGCCTGTGGACGACATCCCCGACCGGCCGGCGGGCCCCGGGGTCTACACGGCGCTGTGGCAGCTCGCCCTCGCACTCGTCTTCAAGATCGTCATCACCATCTTCACCTTCGGCATGAAGGTCAGTGCGAGGAAGATGAGCAACACATCGGGTTTGACGAGGAGATATTACTTTCTACCCTTTTTAAATGTGTATTTCAAGATTCAAGGCTTTTATTGTCATGTGTTCACAGTAGCTTATTATTGGGAGAGATTGTACTGTGCAATCAGAGAGATACAGTATGTCCACGTTTTTGAGCAAGTCCACGAATCCAGTCTTTGTCAAGTCTGTCACCACCTTCGCGCAGCTGCTGGCGCCACTTCGTCCGCTCCTCCGCCAGCCTCTCCCAGTTGTCCGTCGCAATGTCCAGGGCCTTCATGGCACGTTTTACGACATCCTTGATATAGATATATCATGAACATCTGAGGTCCCAGGCTCCTCCCACAGTGCAACACAATAAAACTGATAAAATAGTGCAAGTAAATACAAATAAAATAGAATAGAAATAGTGCAATAGTTCTGACTTATTCATATGTGTAATAATAATAGATTACATTTGTATAGCGCCTTTCAAGGGACCCAAGGCTGCTTTACATGGTGAACAAGAGGGGCAAATAATAAAGTAGAAATGAAATAAGTAGCAGGGGGCTGGGATGGGTTAGGGGTCAAAGGTCACGGAGAACAGGTGAGTTTTTAATGAAGACTTGAAGATGCCCAGTAAACACGCACACGTCGAGTTGTTTAGTTTCAGAGGAATGGGTCATTGTAATGAAGGTGAAGGTGCGTCTCATTCTGTCATGGTGTCCATCCCCTCTGTGCCATAAACTTGACATGAATGTTATTTGTTTCCAGTTTTAAACCACATATTTATCACATGTTTTGTTTTTTAACTCCATATTTGAACCTGATGAAGGACTTAGTGATGGGATGTCTGCTGACCCCCTAGTGACAGAAAATGACTAGAAATATGACGATATAAACTACTGTAGGGGGTGTCTAAAGGTTTGAGGTGTATTGCCTTATCAGTGAAGTTATAAGTTAGCAAAATCAATCCAATGTAGGTCAATTAAGCTTCATACTTGAAAACGCTTTAAGAAACAAAACAACCTCAGCTCTCCAGAGGGTTTCCTTTATTTCGTTAGCAGCTCATTCCTCAAAACAGAAGCTTCAGATTGATTATAAAAGAGGAAATAGATTTCATTATACTATTTGACTTTACCCCCTGATATAAACAAAAACATTTTGTAGCCCTTGCTTGGATTCTGACGGCCTCTCTGCGGTTCTTCGTCCCCTCCAGATCCCCTCGGGTTTGTTCATTCCCAGCATGGCGGTCGGCGCGATAGCAGGACGGATCGTGGGGATCGCCGTGGAGCAGATGGCGTACCACCACCACGACTGGATCATCTTCAAGAACTGGTGCCGGCCTGGAGCGGACTGCGTGACCCCGGGGCTCTACGCCATGGTGGGGGCCGCCGCCTGCCTGGGTGAGAACACGCACTCCCTCTCTGTCCGTGTGGAGATCACCTGTTCATCGCTGACGAATGAAAGAGAGGAATGAATGTCTTTCATTTTTGTAAAGCACCTTGAATTGCCTTGTGTTGAAAGGTGCTTGCCTTGCCTAATAGTATTGAGAAGAAGCGTACAAGTGTAAGCAATAGTTCAGACTCCTGTGGGGGAAACATGGAAGACAAACAGAACAGCCAACAAGAAATAATAGAGACAAAACATAGCATGTCAGGAATACCATACTTAATGACATACATAGTGGTAGTGGGAAAGGACATACACAATAGTATAATACGAATCAATGAACTGACAGTAAAGGGTGCGAATGAGCCCAGGCTACCAGCAGTGCCACCCAAGCATTAAAAAACGATTGTTTGTGCACTGCCGACTGTCTGAATAAATGAAGCTGTAATAAAGTGGTTGCGTCCCTCCAGGGGGGGTCACCAGGATGACGGTCTCCCTGGTGGTCATCATGTTCGAGCTCACCGGGGGTCTGGAGTACATCGTGCCCCTCATGGCCGCCGCCGTCACCAGCAAATGGGTGGCGGACGCCTTCGGGAAGGAGGGCATCTACGAGTCTCACATCCAGCTGAACGGATACCCGTACCTGGACGTGAGGGACGAGTTCACCCACCGCACGCTGGCCACGGACGTGATGCGGCCGCGCAGGAACGACCCCCCCCCTGGCCGTGCTCACGCAGGACAGCACCACCGTGGAGGACGTGGAGACGCTCATCAAAGACACCGACTACAACGGCTTCCCTGTGGTGGTGTCCCGCGAATCAGAGAGGCTCATCGGCTTCGTGCAGCGCCGAGACCTCACCCTCGCCATCAGTAAGTCGTTTAAAGGGGACAGAATAATACCCAGAAACCCCCCCCCAGTGTGATATCTGAAATGAAGTGTTTTAATATGCAGATGAGGCATTATATGATGCTAACGATGGGTGAATCTAGGAGATCCTCAGGCTCAAACTGACGAAGCATTACTGGGCTTTCAACATGTTTTCTAGTGCAGTCCTGTAGTGTCTGCCCTCCTGTAGGTCTTCATACTCTTATCACTGGTAAGATAGTCTCTGGACGGCATCAGGAAACGGGGTCAGACTCGTGTTCATCACGATGTTCCTCTTTGTTCCTCTGTAGAAAACGCCCGTCAGAAGCAGGACGGCGTGGTGAGCAGCTCCGTGGTTTACTTCACCGAAGACGCTCCCCAGCTGCCGCTCAGCAACCCTCAGCCTCTGAAGCTGCGGCGCGTCCTGAACCTCAGCCCCTTCACCGTCACCGACCACACGCCCATGGAGACCGTGGTGGACATCTTCCGCAAGCTGGGCCTCCGCCAGTGTCTCGTCACCCGGAGCGGGTTAGACCTTTTTCTTTCAATTCCAACCTAATTAAGAATTGGTTTCTCTGTTGTCCACGACGTTCATAAAGCAGAACACGACCCCATCAGAGCACGGTGCACGACCCCTTGTTAAAGGAACTGTTCCTCTAAAGCACTAATGGCTGTAAAGGGGAATGTGAGAAAATAACTAATACAGTTTAAAAAGCACGGTGCAAAGTATCTAGAGGAGTCCGCCATTCTTATTCAACTTTGTACATTTCTATCAAGAATGTAAACAATACATTGGCACTATTAAAAACATTAGGAATAAGAAGCCAATCGAAACTAATTTGATATTTAAAAAATATTTAATCTGAAGTATCAAAATGTATTTCTTTCCTTCGTCTGTATTTACTGTATTTACTGTCTTGTTGCTGTATATGTCTGCCCCTGGAGTTTGTTGTATGTTTGATGTTCATGTAGGAGAAAAAAACCTTAATATCCTCCCAACAGCTGAGTCAACAACAACAACAACAACAACACTGCTGCAAGGGAATCATAATCAGAAAGGTATTTTCTTCCTCTGACCTTGTTCCCTTTGTGTTCAGGCGTCTCCTGGGCATCATCACCAAGAAGGACGTCCTGCGCCACATGGCCCAGATGATGAACCAGGACCCAGAGTCCATCATGTTCAATTAGCAGCTGCCCTCCTCCCCTGTCGGTGTCCATCGGTGAAGCCGTGCAACGCTACTGTCTCTCCATCCTGTGAAGAGTCCCTCCTGACAGGCAAGTCCCAGAAACACCTCTCACAGCTTCAACGTTACACCCCGAGGACCCAGAGCTCGCTTCATCGTGTTGCCAACAGCGCTGAGACATCCAGAGTGCCAAGCTCCAAGAAAAGCTATTAATGTGTTGTTTTCTGACGTGTTCTGGTACGAAATAACCCAAACTAAAATGATTAAACCTTAGAAACACACCTTGAAGGATAGTGTACGATGTACCAGAGGAGGACTGATATCTCCAGAAGCATCGAATAAAGTCAAGGAAAAACGGGGGACATTTTGTAGGAATCCTCCCGTGTGTTTTGCCATAAAATGGTACTCTTTAAAATATATAGAAATGGGACCACGTGTGAGAAATAACAAACTAAACCCTGATATTATCTCATTAACTACCACTGAGTTTATTTAGAAGTGGGGGGGCTGCTGCACTTTGTGATTATTATTTCTGTGCCACATTTATATTAACGCTGCTCGTTTGACTGAAGCTGTACCAGAAGTTATTTAACTGTCAAAAGGTTTCCTTACGTTTCCTTATAACCACAATAATAGTCAGTAATGGGAGAGGAAGGTCTGATTGCTTGCATCCAGATTCCTTTTCCGTCTAGT